ATGGTCGGTGGGGTACGTCAGACACAACCGTTAGTTGGCATGGCCCGGGAGCAAGCCCACTGAAATCACGTTCCTCTACCTGCCCCTGTCCTTGCTGTTCCCTCACCAAGCGAAGTATCGCATGCTGTGGGCTCAGCCCCACTGTACAGTGAGGAAGAGCTAACAGAGGGCGGTCAGGAACGGGGGGAGACATCCGCCTCTTCAGCAGCCAGGGCGAAGAACAGTAGTGGGCGAGGAGAGTGGAGCCCGGTAGCCGGTCTAGAGACAGGTCTGTCTCCTGACCCAGACGCAGCCGAGGGGGCTAGTAGTTGAGGGCGGAGACCCTACTTGATGATGAGGAGGTTGATCGCACTTGGCAGCCTCGTCGTCATCAGGCTATTGCTTCCGCATCATCAGGAGAAGAGGGTGGCAGCTTGGCAGTGAGCGAAACAGTCGGTGGGTTGCCCAGAGAGACAGCAGCAGGGTCGACCAGCATCAGTAGTCAGTGGAAGCAGTGTCAGTGGAGCCAAACGTCCACGGAGTAGTTTAGAGCACCAGCTCCACTGCAGCCTACCACCACGGCCAGTAGTGGTACCGGTGTGCACGGAGGAAGCAGCAGTCAGCCAGTGAGGAGTATTCGGGGGCAAAGTTTCCTACTCGGCCGGTGTGGCAATTTTTTCTTCGTCAAGCCGCCCGAGGAGTAAACGTAGCCGTATGTCGACTATGTGGCCAAAAGTCAAGCGTGGCCAGGGGGCCCATGTTGGGACTATTTGGGCCATGTTGGGACAATGGGAGACCTCCCATTGCTGCTGTCTCCATCGCCACACTCTGCCATGTGCCACTTTCAGGTCTCCTCACACACTGCTGGTGTGTTCAGTTTTTTGACATAGGGTGCTGCAGATTACGGGCCTCCCATAGCTGCTGCCAGGCCCCTAATCTGCCATGGGCCCCTATATACCGCCTCCTCATGCTGCTGCCAGGTCCAGAGTCTGTCATGGGTCCCTGTACGGCCTCCATTGCTGCTGTCTCCATCGCCACACTCTGCCATGTGCCACTTTCAGGTCTCCTCACACTGCTGGTGTGTAGAATTTTTTGACATAGGGTGCTGGCATGATTTACGGGCATCCCATTGCTGCTGCCAGGCCCCTAATCTGCCAATGGGGCCCCTATACCGCCTCCTCATGCTGCTGCCAGGTCCAGAGTCTCTCATTGCCATGTGCCACTTTCAGTTCTCCTCACACTGCTGTTGTGTTGAATTTTTTGACATAGGGGTGCTGGCAGATTATGGGCCTCCTATAGCTGCTGCCAGGCCCCTCAATCTGCCATAGGCCCCTATATACCGCCTCCTCTTGCTGCTGCCAGGTCCACAGTGTCTCATGCCATTGTGCCACTTTCAGGTCTCCTCACACTGCTGGTGTGTTGAATTTTTTGACATAGGGTGCTGGCAGATTATGGGCCTCCCATTGCTGCTGCCAGGCCCCTAATTCTGCCATGGGCCCCTGTACCGACTCCTCATGCTGTGACGTTGCAACAAGGTGGAATTCAACCCTACACATGTTAGACCGCCTTTACGAGCAGCGAAAGGCCCTCATCACAGATTTCCTGATGTTACAAGCGGATAAAGGTATTCCCTGTGTAACTTAGATGTCAGCCATTGGCAGCTCATGCGTGACACCTGCCGCTGCTCAGGCCCTTGAGGAGGCCACGCTATTCGTGAGTCGGCAGGACTATGGGATGAACGACGTCATTCCTCTGTTGCACGTCCTGGAACAATGCTGGTTAAACAATGGCTGGTCAGGGTGCGGTAGACGTGGCGCAACAGATCTCAACGCCACATGACCCCTGTGGGGGGCAGGACAGGAAGAAGAGGAGGAGGTAGAGGAGGACATTGGTGCTCAGGAAATTATTGAGTGAAATGGGTGGTTTTTCCACTCAGCGCGGACAGGAGTGGAGGAGCAGGAGGCATCTGGTAGAGGAGGAGGAGGAGACAGAGGACCCAGACGCACCGTGGCAGTATGCTGTGGAGATGGAGGCAGGGATCCCTCGCATTCCTTGGCACAAATGGCCCATAGCATGCTCGGTTGCATGCGTTAGCGACAGCCGAATAATAACCATCAGACAGTAGGGATGACTTTTGGCTGTCCACCTTGTTGGACCCTCGCTACCGGTCCAAAATGGTGGCCTTTTTCACACCTGCTGAGAGGGAGGCCAAAAATTACGTACTATAAAAAAACCACCTATGTAGTCAGCTGGTCTCTGCCTGTCTGCGCCAACGTCCATCCTCAGACACTGTGGGCCCTGTGCGCTCGCGTTCCGCTTCCCGCCATGGCAGCAGGGGAGGGGTGGGGTTGGTAGGAGCAGAGTGGCCAGCTCCACCAGCAGCGGCTGCCTCAGTCTGCAGTCGATGATGAGTAGCTTTTCATTCACCAGCGCAGTGAGGAAACTACTAACCAGCCGCAGCAGCAGCACAGCAGCAGCAGCAGCAATCAGGTGGACCTGGAGCAGGACCTCAAACAACAGGCTTGGGCCTACTTGGACAGCACCCTGCCAACCGAGGTAGACAATCCCCTTGACTACTGGGCAACGAAACTTGACCTTTGGCCCCAACTAGCTGAATTTGCCCTTGAAAGGCTGTCATTGCCCGGCCAGTACGTGGCATCGGAGCGCGTGTTTTTAGTGCGGCAGGAGGTATTGTAACTCCGCGGAGGCACACGACCCTGTCCACCCAAAAAGTGTGGAGAGACTGACGTTTGTGAAAATTATGAATCAGGCGTGGATTAGTCTGGATTTTCAAACCACCAGTTTTCCTGACACAACTGACTAAATCCGCCATGAATCATGCCCCAAACATGTGCCACTTTCAGGTCTCCTCACACTGCTGGTGTGTTCCATTTTTTGTCATAGGGTGCTGGCAGATTACGGGCCTCCCATAGCTGCTGCCAGGCCCCTAATCTGCCATGGCCCCTGTTGTCGCTTGTTGGCATATTCCGCTCGTTCAGATGCTCCTTCTCCTGCTACTCCTCTTCACGGATTCCGTCAGCAGTCTTTCTTGGAATCCGTTTCCAAGAGACAACAGTTGCGAGCACGCACCAGACGGTGCAGAAATGAACGTCCTCCTGTCCAAGTTGCTGCTGCCAGGCTCGTAATCTGTCATGCGCCCCTGTACCGCCTCCTCATGCTGCTGCCAGGTCCAGATTGTGTCATGGGCCCCCGTACCGACTCCAAATGCTGCTGCCAGGCCCGTAATCTGTCATGGGCCCCTGTACCGCCTCCCCATTTATGCTGCTGCCACGTCCAGATTGTGTCATGGGTCCCTGTACGGCCTCCCATTGCTGCTGCCAGGCCTGTATTCTGCATGGGCCCCCGTTACCGACTCCTCATGCTGCTGCCAGGCCCCGTAAATCTGCCATGGGCCCCCGTACCGCCTCCTCATGCTGCTGCCAGGTCCAGAGTCTGTCATGGGTCCCTGTACGGCCTCCCATTGCTGCTTGTCTCTATCGCCACACTCTGCCATGTGCCACTTTCAGGTCTCCTCACACTGCTGGTGGGTTCCATTTTGTCATAGGGTGCTGTATGGCCTCCCATTGCTGCTGCCTCCACCGCCACACTGTGGCGCCACACTCTGGTTTTGGCCCCGTGACTGCCCAAATGAGTGAAGTGTGCGGTGATTCTAAGATCGACGGCACTCATCTGCATGTCATACGGGACTGACAGTATTATTTCTCTTCCCAGCAGACTCCAAGGGCATTTAAATTAAAGTACAGTGTTCTGCACTAATATAAAAAGCTCTCTGAAGCCTAGAAACACCCTTTTTATAAGTTAAATTCACAGCGAATATATTCAACTCGAATCGAAATTTTTCTAACGAATTCGCCGAATCAGTCGAATCGAATTTTTTGAATACTTCGCTCATCTCTAGTTCTAATGTAAACCGAGGTCTTTCCCACCTCTAACCCCCCCCCCCCCCCCCCCGTGATTCCCCAGCAGTGGTGTGGGGGACCTGTGACAGGACCAGTCAATAGTGCCCACCCTTTGCACCCCCCCTCCTCCATTCTGAATGCTGTACAGTCTCTGTTTTCAGGATGTGTATCATGTATTGAACTGTGATTATGTATTGAACGGTTGGGGCCACTTTCCCGGGTCGGTCCGCGGAGGAGAAGTCTTTTATGTTGAGGACAATCATTTATTTAGAAAAAAAAAAAAAAAAAGTGTGGAGCGGCGTCCTGGAGGCGGAGCTCGATCCCTCCCCCGGCGTCCTCCTGTCAGGCGTTGTGGCTGGTTCTGTGGTGGGTGTCCTGTCTGGAGGAGACCTTCAGCACATTCTCATCCTTCCCTCTATAAATCTGTTTATTCCCAGATGATGCTCAGATGGTCCCATCTCCCGGTGAAGTCGTCTGATGAGGGGGGAGGGGAAAAGGGGGGGTAGCGGCACTCCAGCCCTCTGAGGATGTAATTGGATTTCAGCCTGTGTGTGCCGCTCCCCGCCGCCCGCTGAGACCATACCTTCCTGAACAAAAAACATCACCGCACCCTGCCTAAGTACTGCTCTGTCCTGATGGTGGGAGGAGTTGGGCCAATATCAGAATGCCTTGTTGGGTGTCAGTCTGCAGGAGTGGGCGTTCCTAGGTGGGCTGGATTTGCATAGGTAACGCCCACATGTGATGCTATGCCTTCATGATTGAAAGACCTGGAATCCAATGAATGAAAGGGGCGGGGCCATGGACAGGCAAGCTGGGGAGGAAAGTGCTAGATGATGGCAGGATGTCCTCCGGCCAGGAAAGGAGGTGGAGCTTTATCTGACTGGCTGCAGCTTTTAGTGCACATTGTGAGAAGCTCAAAATGTCCAGGAGAAGAGAAGGTACACCTGTGCAGGACTGAAGGGGAGGAGCTGGTACACCTGTGCAGGACTGAAGGGGAGGAGCCGATACACCTGTGCAGGACTGAAGGGGAGGAGCCGGTACACCTGTGCAGGACTGAAGGGGAGGAGCTGGTACACCTGTGCAGGACTGAAGGGGAGGAGCTGGTACACCTGTGCAAGACTGAAGGGGAGGAGCCGGTACACCTGTGCAAGACTGAAGGGGAGGAGCCGGTACACCTGTGCAAGACTGAAGGGGAGGAGCCGGTACACCTGTGCAGGACTGAAGGGGAGGAGCCGGTACACCTGTGCAGGACTGAAGGGGAGGAGCCGGTACACCTGTGCAGGACTGAAGGGGAGGAGCCGGTACACCCTGTGCAGGACTGAAGGGGAGGAGCCGGTACACCTGTGCAGGACTGAAGGGGAGGAGCCGGTACACCTGTGCAGGACTGAAGGGGAGGAGCCGGTACACCTGTGCAGGACTGAAGGGGAGGAGCCGGTACACCTGTGCAGGACTGAAGGGGAGGAGCCGGTACACCTGTGCAGGACTGAAGGGGAGGAGCCGGTACACCCTGTGCAGGACTGAAGGGAGGAGCCGGTACACCTGTGCAGGACTGAAGGGGAGGAGCCGGTACACCTGTGCAGGACTGAAGGGGAGGAGCCGGTACGCCTGTGCAGGACTGAAGGGGAGGAGCCGGTACGCCTGTGCAGGACTGAAGGGGAGGAGCCGGTACGCCTGTGCAAGACTGAAGGGGAGGAGCCGGTACGCCTGTGCAAGACTGAAGGGGAGGAGCCGGTACGCCTGTGCAAGACTGAAGGGGAGGAGCCGGTACGCCTGTGCAGGACTGAAGGGGAGGAGCCGGTACGCCTGTGCAGGACTGGAGGGGAGGAGCCGTACGCCTGTGCAGGACTGGAGGGGAGGAGCCGTACGCCTGTGCAGGACTGGAGGGGAGGAGCCGTACGCCTGTGCAGGACTGGAGGGGAGGAGCCGTACGCCTGTGCAGGACTGGAGGGGAGGAGCCGCTACGCCTGTGCAGGACTGAAGGGGAGGAGCCGCTACGCCTGTGCAGGACTGAAGGGGAGGAGCCGCTACGCCTGTGCAGGACTGAAGGGGAGGAGCCTTGCGCCTGTGCATGACTGAAGGGGAGGAGTCGGTACGCCTGTGCATGACTGAAGGGGAGGAGCCGTACGCCTGTGCAAGACTGAAGGGGTGGAGCCGCTGCAACTGGGCAGGGTGACACTGGTTGGCATTTTAGTGCAGTGAAGGCTTTTTTTTTTTTTTTCTTTTTCTTCAAATGTTTACAGTTTTTTAACCCTTTTCCCTCCTAATTCTGCAGCTAATTGTAAATGAACGCCGTCACTAAACTATGCTCCCTGAGCTGTATAGACTGCGGACAGATCTCCTCACACCGCCATCCCGGCTCAGCCTTCTGAACGGTTCTTTCTCCATCTGAGGGCTCGAGGTCTTCATTTGTGTTCTTTTTTTTTTTTTTTTTGCTCAGATTGCCAGCTGGAGAAACTTCCCATGAGGCCTCGGGACCGAGCCAGAGTCATCGATGCAGCAAAACACGCTCACAAGTTCTGCAACACGGAAGAGGAGGAGGCGGTGTATCTGCGCAGGTATCCCCCCCCCCCCCCCCCCCCCGGGGACTCGTTCTCCTTTTATCTGCTTCCATTTATACCGCCACTCACCGAGGAATCGCCTTCTGCAGACATCAGACGTCATCATGCTGGGGGAGCACATGGCTGAAAGTGGTATAAAAGGTTCAGATTTAACCCCTTCCGGTCCGGACGCTTCCGGTCCGGACGCTTCCCCCCCCCCCCCCCCCTTCCGGTCCGGTCCGGACGCTTCCCCCCCCCCCCCTTCCGGTCCGGACGCTTCCCCCCCCCCCTTCCGGTCCGGACGCTTCCCCCCCCCCCCCCCGTTCCGGTCCGGACGCTTCCCTTCCCCCCCCCCCCCCTTCCGGTCCGGACGCTTCCCCCCCCCCCCCCCCCCCTTCCGGTCCGGACGCTTCCCCCCCCCCCCTTCCGGTCCGGTCCGGACGCTTCCCCCCCCCCCCCCCCCCCCCCCGGTCCGGACGCTTCCCCTTCCGGTCCGGACGCTTTCCCCCCCCCCCCCCCCTTCCGGTCCGGACGCTTTCCCCCCCCCCCCCTTCCGGTCCGGACGCTTTCCCCCCCCCCCCCCTCCGGTCCGGACGCTTTCCCCCCCCCCCCCCCCCTTCCGGTCCGGACGCTTTCCCCCCCCCCCCCCCCCCCCCCCCCCCTTCCGGTCCGGACGCTTTCCCCCCCCCCCCCCCCCCCCCCCCCCGTTCCGGTCCGGACGCTTTCCGCCCCCCCCCCCCCCCCCTTCCGGTCCCGGACGCTTTCCCCCCCGCTCCCCCCCCCCCCCCCCCCCCTTCCGGTCCGGACGCTTTCCCCCCCCCCCCCCCTTCCGGTCCGGACGCTTTCCCCCCCCCCCCCCTTCCGGTCCGGACGCTTTCCCCCCCCCCCCCCTTCCGGTCCGGACGCTTTCCCCCCCCCCCCCCCCTTTCCGGTCCGGACGCTTTCCCCCCCCCCCCCTCTTCCGGTCCGGACGCTTTCCCCCCCCCCCCCTTCCGGTCCGGACGCTTTCCCCCCCCCCCCCCCCCCCCCCCCCCCCCCCCCCCCCCCCCCCACCCCCCCCCCCCCCCCCCCTTCCGGTCCGGACGCTTTCCCCCCCCCCCCCCCCCCCCCCCCCCCCCCCCCTTCCGGTCCGGACGCTTTCCCCCCCCCCCCCCCCCCCCCTTCCGGTCCGGACGCTTTCCCCCCCCCCCCCCCCCCCCCCCCCTTCCGGTCCGGACGCTTTCCCCCCCCCCCCTTCCGGTCCGGACGCTTTCCCCCCCCCCCCCCCCCCCCCCCCCCCCCACCCCCCCCCCCCACTCCGGTCCGGACGCTTTCCCCCCCCCCCCCCCCCCCCTCCGGTCCGGACGCTTTCCCCCCCCCCCCCCTTCCGGTCCGGACGCTTTCCCCCCCCCCCCCCCCCCCCCCCTTCCGGTCCGGACGCTTCCCCCCCCCCCCTTCCGGTCCGGACGCTTTCCCCCCCCCCCCCCTTCCGTCCGGACGCTTTCCCCCCCCCCCCTTCCGGTCCGGACGCTTTCCCCCCCCCCCCCCCCCCCCTTCCGGTCCGGACGCTTTCCCCCCCCCCCCCCCTTCCGTCCGGACGCTTTCCCCCCCCCCCCCCCCCCCCCCCCCTTCCGGTCCGGACGCTTTCCCCCCCCCCCCCCCCCTTCCGGTCCGGACGCTTTCCCCCCCCCCCCCCCTTCCGGTCCGGACGCTTTCCCCCCCCCCCCCCCTTCCGGTCCGGACGCTTTCCCCCCCCCCCCCTTTCCGGTCCGGACGCTTTCCCCCCCCCCCCCTTTCCGGTCCGGACGCTTTCCCCCCCCCCCCCCCTTTCCGGTCCGGACGCTTTCCCCCCCCCCCCCCCCCTTCCGGTCCGGACGCTTTCCCCCCCCCCCCTTCCGGTCCGGACGTTTCCCCCCCCTTCCAGTCCGGAACACATCGTGTTTACTGCTGTTCATGTGATCACTGATTGGCCAACCAGCCCACCTTAGCAGCGCTCCCGTCCGGTTGTTTATAGACATTAATAAAACAAAAAAAAATCACAGACGTCGCCCTTCTCTGCTCTGTAATGGTTTTGCACGGAGCAGCCTGGATTCTCCTCTGCTTGGTCCCCCGCAGGCTCTCTGGGCTCCTTCCTCTTCACCAGCCGCTTGCTATGGGGGCACTCATGCATGCTTGCTCTCGAGTCTGGCTCTATGCGTCTATTAGACACACAGAGCTGCAGCTTGGATCCACCCACAGCACTCCCCCCCCCCCCCCCCCCCCCCCCCCCCCGCTCACTCGCTGTTCATTGGCTCAATGGCTCCCGCTGCTGTCTCAGCCAATGAAAAGAGGGATCCCCAGGACAGGTGAGGCTCTCGTCCACGTCACTGGATTTAGAGGGGGCTCAAGTAAGTATGTGGGGGAGGGGCGGCAGCACACAGAAGCTTTTTTCCCTTCATGCATAGGTGCTTGTCACCTCCAGGACTTCTCTAGTACTTATACGTGACAGGTGTATTGCACTGCGGCTGTGCGAGGAGAGAAGCACAGAAACGATGCTTTCCCCTCCCCTCTGCTGCCCAATCACAGAAGCCTTTGTATTTTGTTCACATAATACAAAGGCTTCTGTGAATGGGCGGAAGGGAGGGGCAGGCATAGCAGGAACTGTGACCGCAGTGAGCAGAGTTAGAGCTCCCCAAAGTTATCTTCCTGTAGCACCTCGTTAGAGTTAACCCCTTCCTTACCGCGCTATAGCTGACGGGTACAGCGTGATCGTCCAGTTTCCGGGAGGGCATCATATGACTTCCTCCCAGAAGCCGCCCTCCCAGCGGCGCACACCCGGCTCTCTGTGTTCTCTGTGATTGGCCTTTTACCGTGTCATGTGATCAGCTGTGTCCACCTGTCTCACAGCGTGAGGAAAGTACTGCTGATAACCGGCAGCTGTTTAAAGGAGATATCTGCAGTGATTATCAGTGCAGCTCCAAAAGTGCCCATCGTTGCCGCCCATCGTTGCCGCCCATCGTTGCCGCCCATCGTTGCCGCCCATCAGTTCCCCTTGTTGCCGCCTATCAGTGCCCATCATTGCCGCCTATCAGTTGCCCTTGTTGCCGCCTATCAGTGCCCATCATTGCCGCCTATCAGTGCCCATCATTGCCGCCTATCAGTTTCCCTTGTTGCCGCCTATCAGTGCCCATCTCTGCCCATCATTGCCGCCTATCAGTGCCGCCCATCGTTGCCCATCATCGCCGCCTATCAGTTCCCCTTGTTGCCGCCTATCAGTGCCGCCCATCGTTGCCCATCATTGCCGCCTATCAGTTCCCCTTGTTGCCGCCTATCAGTGCCCATCTCTGCCCATCATTGCCACCTATCCGTTCCCATCGTTGCCGCCTATCAGTGCCGCCCATCGTTGCCCATCATTGCCGCCTATCAGTGCCCATCATTGCCGCCCATCAGTTCCCCTTGTTGCCGCCCATCAGTGCCGCCCATCGTTGCCCATCATTGCCGCCGCCTATCAGTGCCCATCATTGCCGCCTATCAGTTCCCCTTGTTGCCGCCTATCAGTGCCCATCTCTGCCCATCATTGCCGCCTATCCGTTCCGATCGTTGCCCATCATTGCCGCCTATCAGTGCTTCCTCATCAATGCCCACCAGTGCCGCCTCATTAGTGCCCATCAGTGCCCTTCGTTGCCGCCTCTCAGTGCTTCTTCATCAATGCCCATCATCAGCGCAGCCTATCAGTGCCGCCTCATCAACGCTCATCACTGAAGGGAAAAAATTTACCTGTTTGCAAAATGTTATAATAGCCCCGGGCGAGGGTTGCGGGTGTGCCCAGGGAGAGTGTCTCCAGTTCTAGAAAATTCCCCTCATTGTGTTTACATCCACTTATAGGTCCTCTGCTTTTAGAAAATATATAATGTTTGAGGTTTCTAAAAAAAAAAAAAAAAAAAAAAAAAAATATCCAATTTTTTTTTTTAACGTGTGTGTGAAACCTTTTTTTTTTTTAATTTTTTTTTCTTCTATGTTTTATAGGCCGGATGGGATAGAACGACAATATAGGAAAAAAATGCAGCAAGTAAGTAATCTGCTTTAATATAATTTCAGGATTATTATAAAATATTATTATTATAGGATTATTAAAAATAGAACAACAATAGTAACAATAATTATTGTTACTATTGTTCTATTTTTATTATTTTTATATTTTATTTTTGTATTAAGTTCAGGATTATTATTATTACTATTATTCTATTTGTATTATTTTTATATTTTTATTTTTGTATTAATTTCAGGATGATTATTATTATTATTACTATTTTATTTGTAGTTTTTTTTTTATATTTATTTTTTGTATTAATTTCAGGATTATTATTATTATTATTTATTTGTATATTTTTATTTTTTTATTTTTTTTTTTCAGGATTATTATTATTATTATGTTCTATTTTTAGTTTTTTTTTATTATATTTTTATTTTTGTATTTAATTTCAGGATTATTATTACTATTTATTTGTATTTTTTTATTTTTTAAATTTTTTTTTTTTATTAATTTCAGGATTATTTATTATTACTATTCTATTTGTATTTTTTTTATTTTTTATTAATTTCAGGATTATTATTACTATTCTTTTTTATATTATTTTTATATTTTTATTTTTTATTAATTTCAGAATTATTATTATTATTATTGTTCTATTTGTGTTTTTATATTATATTTTTATTTTTGTATTAATTTCAGGATTATTATTATTACTATTCTATTTGTATTATTTTTTATTTTTATTTTTTATTAATTTCAGGATTATTATTATTATTACTGTTCTATTTTTAGTATTTTTATATTATATTTTTATTTTTTGTATTTAATTTCAGGATTATTATTACTATTCTATTTGTATTTTTTTATATTTTTATTTTTTATTTTTTTCAGAATTATTATTATTACTATTCTATTTGTATTTTTTTTTTTTATTAATTTCAGGATTATTATTACTATTCTATTTATTTATTTTTATATTTTTATTTTTGTATTTAATTTCAGGATTATTATTATTATTATGTTCTATTTGTGTTTTTTTATATTATATTTTTATTTTTGTATTAATTTCAGGATTATTATTTTTACTATTCTATTTATATTTATTTTTATATTTTTATTTTTGTATTAATTTCAGGATTATTATTATTATTACTGTTCTATTTTTAGTATTTTTATTTTATATTTTTATTTTTTTTTATTTAATTTCAGGATTATTATTACTATTCTATTTGTATTATTTTTTATTTTTTATTAATTTCAGGATTATTATTATTACTATTCTATTTGTATTATTTTTATTTTTTATTAATTTCAGGATTATTATTATTACTATTCTATTTGTATTATTTTTATTTTTTATTAATTTCAGGATTATTATTACTATTCTATTTGTGTTTTTATATTATATATTTTTTATTTTTGTATTTCAGGATTATTATCATTACTATTCTATTTGTAGTATTTTTATATTAGATTTTTTTTTTTTTTTTTTTTTTTTTTTTTAAATTTTGCGGACTGTCCGCCCACACTTTTTTTTTTTTTTTTAATTTTTTTTTTAAGGTTTTATATTTAACTATCCTTTAAAATCTTCTGTGCATGCTTCTGAAAATGTAAGTAAATGTCAAATAAAAGTTAAACTCCAGGCAAACGGCTAAATGCACAGATACATACATGAGAGCGGTTTTATCTGACGTAGGATTTGTATTCCTGTCCATCCAGTTCTGAGACTTCCATCCATCCTGGAGACCGGATTTCTGACAGCTCCAGTTACGTGATACAATTAGGTCTTGTCGGGGTACTGCACTAACGAGCAGCAGCCGTGTTTTCTCCGTGTTTTCTGACAACCGTACCGGGAAGGATGGTCTCGGCATACTTTTATCCCGGTCTTGGGCTCCATGATACAGACACTGAAGAGAGCCCGGGGAAGGGGGAGCTGGCTTTGCATTCAGAATGCATCTAAAAGGTTGGAACATTTTGTCCCCGTGGACATGTGTTCGCTGGGCAGCGATAACTTGGATCCGAAGGTCGGAGCCTACAGATGGTTTACCTGAGACGAACTGAGCGGGGAATGCGCAATTCGGGTGGTAAATGAGATTTCTGTGGCTCCACCTTAACCCTTTCAACGTCTAGGATGTATAATGGCTTTCTACTCCTTATCTTGGACCTCCTATTCCAAAACCATGGCCATTAATACGGCGTTTGCCCCCATCCAATTCCAAAACCGTGGCCATTAATACGGAGTTGCCCCCATCCTATTCCAAAACCGTGGCCGTTAATACGGAGTTGCCCCCATCCAATTCCAAAACCGTGGCCGTTAATACGGCGTTGCCCCCATCCAATTCCAAAACCGTGGCCGTTAATACGGAGTTGCCCCCATCCAATTCCAAAACCGTGGCCGTTAATACGGAGTTGCCCCCATCCTATTCCAAAACCGTGGCCGTTGATACGGCGTTGCCCCCATCCAATTCCAAAACCACGGCCGTTGATACGGCGTTGCCCCCATCCGATTCCAAAACCACGGCCGTTGATACGGCGTTGCCCCCATCCGATTCCAAAACCACGGCCGTTGATACGGCGTTGCCCCCATCCGATTCCAAAACCACGGCCGTTGATACGGCGTTGCCCCCATCCGATTCCAAAACCACGGCCGTTGATACGGCGTTGCCCCCATCCGATTCCAAAACCACGGCCGTTGATACGGCGTTGCCCCCATCCGATTCCAAAACCACGGCCGTTGATACGGCGTTGCCCCCATCCGATTCCAAAACCACGGCCGTTGATACGGCGTTGCCCCCATCCGATTCCAAAACCACGGCCGTTGATACGGCGTTGCCCCCATCCGATTCCAAAACCACGGCCGTTGATACGGAGTTGCCCCCATCCGATTCCAAAACCACGGCCGTTGATACGGCGTTGGCCCCATCCGATTCCAAAACCACGGCCGTTGATACGGCGTTGGCCCCATCCGATTCCAAAACCACGGCCGTTGATACGGCGTTGGCCCCATCCGATTCCAAAACCACGGCCGTTGATACGGCGTTGGCCCCATCCGATTCCAAAACCACGGCCGTTGATACGGCGTTGGCCCCATCCGATTCCAAAACCACGGCCGTTGATACGGCGTTGGCCCCCATCCGATTCCAAAACCACGGCCGTTGATACGGCGTTGCCCCCATCCGATTCCAAAACCACGGCCGTTGATACGGCGTTGGCCCCATCCGATTCCAAAACCACGGCCGTTGATACGGCGTTGGCCCCATCCGATTCCAAAACCACGGCCGTTGATACGGCGTTGCCCCCATCCGATTCCAAAACCACGGCCGTTGATACGGCGTTGGCCCCATCCGATTCCAAAACCACGGCCGTTGATACGGCGTTGGCCCCCATCCGATTCCAAAACCACGGCCGTTGATACGGCGTTGCCCCCATCCGATTCCAAAACCACGGCCGTTGATACGGCGTTGGCCCCATCCGATTCCAAAACCACGGCCATTTAATACGGAGTTGCCCCCATCCATGCTCATTATTATGTGGAGTTCCCCATACCTCCCTCCCCAATGGCCACCAATATGGAGTTGCCCCCTTTGTTGGCTAGAACAGCCTCCACTCTTCTGCAAAGTCTTTTTACAAGATTGTGGACGGTGTTTGTAGGAATTTGGGCCCATTTGTGAGGTCAGGTAGCAACGTTAGAGGAGACTGTGACGGAGGGTAGGCAGGACAGAACACACAAAGCTTTATTGAGACAAAATGACAGTCACTCAATGGAGGGATTGCGGGGAGGGTGACCTCGCCAGTAGGGGAGTAGTAAGGAGAGGGCCAAAAACACTTGTAGGCCAGCCCCAAGGGCAAGTTAAGGTCTCTGCAGACCGTTTGTAATCCAACAGTGAGGCAGAGGAACAGTTCAAGAACAGTTCAGGCAAAACACGGGAAGCATGTACTCACGAATCAAACAGGGTGCCCGGTCTCTCAGGGGACAAGATAGGATGACACCTGCCGTAGACCGCGTGTGGTCTCTCCCTTGGCTGGGGTCTCAGGCAGGGCTGGCATGCGGTCTCCCCTCTGGCTGGGGTCTCGGGCAGGGCTGGTGTGCGGTCTCCCCTCTGGCTGGGGTCTCAGGCAGGGCTGGCGTGCGGTCTCCCCCTTGGCTGGGGTCTCAGGCAGGGCTGGCGTGCGGTCTCCCCCTTGGCTGGGGTCTCAGGCAGGGCTGGCGTGCGGTCTCCCCTCTGGCTGGGGTCTCAGGCAGGGCTGGCGTGCGGTCTCCCCCTTGGCTGTGGTCTCAGGCAGGGCTGGCGTGCGGTCTCCCCTCTGGCTTGGGTCTCAGGCAGGGCTATCATGCGGTCTCCCCCCCCATTGGCTGGGGTCTCAGGCAGGGCTGGCGTGCGGTTTCCCCCTTGGCTGTGGTCTCAGGCAGGGCTGGCGTGCGGTCTCCCCCCTTGGCTGTGGTCTCAGGCAGGGCTGGCGTGCAGTCTCCCCCATGGCTGGGGTCTTGGGCAGGGCTGGCGTGCGGTCTCCCCTCTGGCTGGGGTCTCGGGCAGGGCTGGCGTGCGGTCTCCCCCCTCGGCTGGGGTCTCAGGCAGAGTTTAGCCATGAGGGTCCCGCCGCAGCTGGGCTCCCTCAATGGCTGCGCAGCAGAAGAGGATGATCGGGGAGAGCCCAGCACTGGCCTCTTAAACCGGTGTAGGACGCTTTCTGGTCGCCCTGACAACCAGGGGCGGGCTGTGGGTGGCGTGCCTCCTTGCTCAGCTGCAAAGAGCTGAGGCAGGACAAGAGACAGCAGGGGGCCAGTCATCCTGAAAGGGGGGGATGTGGTTAACAAAGTTTGGATTGAATACACACATGACAGAGAGGAAATTAACGAAGGAATCTAACGAAGTTTGGATTGGAATGCATTATTGCAGGGGAGGAAAGGCATTCATTGAATTTGGGAACATAAAGCAGGATGACCGTGGAGGAAATACATTGATTGAATTTGGGAACATTTGGCAGGATGACAGTGGAGGAAATACATTGATTGAATTTGGGAACATTTGGCAGGA